GTGAGACACAGACATTTGAATACGGTTCACACACTGAGATGCAGCCAGTGTGCTGAGGAGAAGAGCACTTGGAGGAAAAGCCTGCAGTGCTTGCTGTGGTAATTCATGGAGTCATACTGTTGGATTGAACATGTTTAGAATGCTTATTTCAAGTAGGACACATGGTAAAAGCACTTTGGGAGTTTTTGAGCTCACAGGCTGTGTCTTTCCTTTTCTGTACAGGGAGGACCTGGGTCAGCGGGGGCCAAAGGCGAGAGTGGCGATCCTGGTCCTCAGGTAACAGCGGAGGCATCTTCGCTCATTTCATTATTGCCTTTACATTATCTATTATGACAAAGGGAATATCAGAGGGTCTCAATTGTGCTACTTAAAGCATGCATCCCCTCTGTTACTGTTTATTTAATTAAGGTGATTGGTACATTTTAGGTGTACGTAATGATCACACCAATTGTAGGGAATTTGTTCCTGTACACGGTACACTTTGATTCTTCTGTTTTCCCCACTGTCTTTCACTCCCTTCAACTCTTCTTCCATCATTTACAAAAGTTTTGTTTCTACTTTGTTCTTTCTTGCCTTCTTTCCTTTTTCCCTTCCTCAAGCCTAGTTCTACTTCCCATTTGAATAATTTCCTTCCTATTTTCTTTCTTAAAGTATTTAGTACAAGGTCTACAGGGTCTCACTACACTGCACTGATCAGACTCTTAGTGATCCTCTTGTTTTGAGCCTCCCATGTGCTGGGATTACAGGCACGCACCACCATGACCAGTCCCAGTCACCCTCAGTGTGCCCTGGGGGCGGAGCCAGCACAGTGTGCCAGGGATCAAATCCTGATCCCTGCATGTGCCTAAGTCTGCAGAGCTATCTGGTCAGCTTCTTTCCTCCCTGTTTTATAGTATGTATTTATACATTTTGGTCCTCACAGCAGAGAAACAATGGGATATTTATACATGTGGGTCTGACTGATTTCGCTTAAGCATATGGTCTCAGAGTCCATCCATTCACCCATAAATTCCTGGCGTTCATCTGTCTTTATGGCCAACCCAGAATGCCACTGTATAAAGTAAGCCATGTCTTCTATACCCATCACCCATGGATGGACATTTGGGCTGTTTCCAAGATTGAAGTATTACACACCGTGCCGCTATAAACATGGGTGTGTGTATATCACCCTGGTGGGAGGCTTTTAATACATTTGGACAGACACCAAGAAGGGGAGCAGCTGAGTGAAATGGAACCTCCAGTTTCACTTTTCTAGGAATCTCTGCACTGATTTTCACAATGGTTGCTCCAGTCTACACACCCACTAATAGTGGAGAAGGGTTCCTTTTTCCCTACAAGTACCCCAACATTTGTTATTGGTTGATTTCTTGATATTCTTTCTGGAGTTAGATAGAATCTCAATGCTGTATTAATTTGCATCTTGCAAATGGCAAGTGGTATTTCATTGATTTTTTTTATACATTCATTTGCCATTTGCATGTCTTCACTTTAGGTATGTGTGTTTATTTCAGGTGCTCATTTTTTCTATTGGGTCTTCAAGTTTTAGGGTTATGACTGCTTTGAGTTCTTTTTTATAGTCTAAAAAATAGCCTTTTGTGTGAAGAACAGCTGGCAAAATGTTTTCCTACTCTGTGGGTTGTCTCTTCACTCTGTTGGCGATTTCTTTTGCTATTCAAAAGCTTTGTAATAAGGTGGGATCCCACTTGTTGCTTCTTTGTGATAGACCATGTGAGGCTGAGATTTTGATCATGAAATCTTGGCACCATCTATGGCTTCAAGAGTTCCACGTATTTATTGTTTCAGTAGACTTAGGCATGTCTGTTTTAACATTTAGGTACTTGATTTAAATAATAACCAAATTCAGTTGCATAGCTGAATACAAAGTCAACACTAAAGAATCAGTAGCATTCCTATTAAGAAGCTCAGAGTGAGAAATTAGAGAAACCAGACCTTTTATCATAACATCGCAGAAATGAAATATTTGGAAATCAATCTAACAGGAAGTGAAAGATTGTTACAATGAATACGACAGTCCTCTGAAAAAGGGAGATTGAAGAAGGCGTCAGAAAATGGGAAGACATCCTTGCTCTTGAGTAGGAAGAATCAGTGCAATGAAATCGGCCATGCCCTCATCATTACTGTACAGCTTTAATGCAATCCCAATCAAAACACCAATAGCACACCTTACAGAATTGGGGAAAACAATCCTAAAATTCATTTGAAAATGAAAGAGACTTAGAATAGCAAAAACATCTGTGGGTAACAAAGGGAAGGCAGGGGATGTCACAATCCCTAAATTGAGATTGTACTTAAAAGCTACAAAAACAGCATGGTCCTGGCAAAAAGCAGACTCAAAGGTCAGTGAAACAGATTAGAAGATGCAGAAACAACTCTAAACACACTCAGCCACTTATCTTTGACAGAGAGATGAGACACATTCACTGGAAGAAAGATAGCCTCTTTAATTAATGGTACTGAGAAAACTGGCTTTCCATATCCTGAAGACTAAAATTACATCCCCTCTTTTAAGTGCGAACTCTTGATTGGCTCTTTGATTGATAGTAACTTTGTTAATTTCACAATAATTTACATTGTGGCTAGAGGCAAGCTTGGAAGTAATAAAACTTCACAACACTTCTGCAGAGCAAGACAGAAGACAATCCACTCTGCGCTGCCTGGATTTTCTTCACATCTGTATTTTGGTGGAGTAAATTTGGCACAGTGTGTTATTAAGGTTGTTTAATATATTTAACAGAAACTAAATTCTAAGCCTTCTCAGAGGTGAGAAAATTAAGAGAAATTGAGTACATGCGAGCTGAGTATTTTTCAGTGCTGCATTAGATTGATAAGATACTGAATTAAAAGTGCTTTTAATGACTATGAAATCACTACATTATACATTATGCATTATCTTGAAAATAGGAAAGCAAAAGTGACTTTTAAAACTACTTTGGTGAGGGCTGGGGGGTATATAGCTCAGTGACATAAGTGCCTGCCTGGCACAATGTCTTGAGTTCCCCCAAAATACCATTCATTTATAGATGAAAATATTTCCTAAGATATTGGGCTGCAGGGGCTCTTCAACAGTTATCCTTTCACTTTTTTGTTCTTTATAATTTTATTTGAAAAACAATATCAGGAAAAATTAAATATGTTTTGCCAGTAACACAAAAGCCATGTATCTCCATATCACCAAAACTATATATGTAAGTTTACAGCCACCAGTAATCCTGAAACCATTAGAGTAGAAACCCTTCCATAACTCCAAACACTTTCTTGGGCTCTTCCTTTTATAGTGGACCCTTCCTTTTGACTCCTAATACCTGGTGAACTCTGAGTGTACTCCTCCGTTTTGCATTTTTGACATCCTACGGGCTTAGGCCTGATGTGCCCTTAGGAGAGGAGCTTTTTTCCCTAGTCTAAGGCTCTGAGACTCAGCACACTGGGGTGTGTCTGCAGAGCCTTCCTTTGGATGCACATTGTTTTCTGAGTGTGTGAATGCATCACTGTTTATTTTAAAATCAGAAGAGTCCTAACAGTGCTGATGAAGACAGTTGGTAGACTCAAAAATGGCAGTCTTCTTATTCATGTTTGTTAACATTGCCACAAAAAGACGGAAAATGTTTGTAGGTGAGCTGGGAATTATATAGAACTATTTAAAACATAGTACATGCAGTTCTACAAATTTATTCTTCTATAGTTTATAAACTTTTTTTTTTGTACTTAGGACAGGGTACAGGGTGTACAGGGTTTCACTGCATAGATCAGACTCTTAGTGATCTGCCTGTTTACAGCCTCCCAAGAGCTGGTATTACAGGCATGCGCCACCACGCCCAGTCTCAGTTGCTGTCTCAGTGCTGCCCCAGGGGCAGGGCCGGCAGAGCAGACCCTGGGATCAAACTCCCAGCCCTGTGTCTGCCTAACCAAGCTCTTTAATCCACTGAGCTTCTTGGCTAGCCAAATAAACTTTTTAATTCTAACTCTTTATAAAACATGTGAACATATTTCCTTCATTGCCTGAGACCAAAGACAGAGATGTACTATCAAAGGAAAGACCATTTTCTTCAAAATGTAGCAGCATTTATCATGTTACTATTGATCCTTGCCTTCTGACTGTGTTCAGGTTAGAGAATTTCCACTGAAACATATTTTTAAGTTTATTTTTTATTGGTCCATGTTTTTATTTTAAATAGAAACTATAAAAACAATGATACAGAATAAGATGGTGAGAAATTAACAGTGGTTAGTATATTGCATATTGCCCAGATTACAACATATAAGCAACATTTTTTGGAACTTTAGTCTTTACCTCTGCTTGCTATATAATCTTAAATTTATGCTTTTAGTATCAATATTTTATAGTGATTCTATTTGTAATTTCAAATGTGGATTTCATTCTTTACCATATTCCTTATGTATTTATTTAAATTGTTACAAAAGAAGAGTATATAAAGATCTATATTATATTTATATTGAACTACCTTTGGTCAATTATTAATTTTGCTGTAGTTCTATATAAAAATTTGTGTATCCATCTTTGCTAAACTACAGTCAAAATGGATCAAAGATTTAAACATTAAAACAGAAACACTAAATACCCTGGAGATAAATGTAGGTAGACATAGGGGTAGGTAGAAAGTTTATCAACAGAAACAAAATGGCATGGGAAGTACCTCAAAGGATCACCAACTCAGATCTCATTCTTTTAAATAGTTTCTTCATGTCACAAAAATCACCGACAGAGTAAAATGAAAACCCACAAACTGCAAAAAATTATAGCCAACTGCCCCTCTGACATGCCTTCTATCTAGAACATATATAGAATTTTTAAAAACCAGGCATCCAAAATTTAAAGACCCAGTCCAAAAATGGGCATTTGAGATGAATATACACTTCTCAGATGAATAAATGAAAATGTCAAAAAATATATGAAAAAATGTTCAACATATTGGTCATTCGAAAAATGCAAATATAAACAACTCTGAGATTGCATCCCAGAAGGAATGACTATTATTGAGAAGTCAGCTAATAACGCTTGCTGGAGGGCATGTGGGGAAAAGGAACTCTTCCCTCCGTTGGCGGGAGTGCAGACTGGTACAGCCACTATCGAAATCAGTGTGGGGATTCCTCAGAAAACTAGCATTAGAGGTCCCATTCAAGACGGCCATTCCCTCCCTTGGTATTCTGCCAGGAGAACTGAAAACATCATGCGATAGTGATTTATGTGGACCAAAGTTAGGAGTGGCACCATTTGTCACAGCTAAATCTCGGGAACAACCCAGATGCCCATCAACTGAGGAATGGATAAAAGGTGTGGTGTTTTCGCACAATGCAGTGTTATTCAGCTACAAAAGGATAAATTTGAGGTTTTTATCAGTAAATAGATGCAACTAGAGACCATACTCTTAAGTGAAATAAATCAGACCCACATGTGCAAACATCGTATTGTCTCCTTAGTGTGAGAACCTGAAAGAGTAAATAAAATCTGAGGGTACAACAGATACTGTGAGAGAGAATGAGCCTGCTTCAAAGGAAGGGATTTCTGAGCGAGAAGGGGGACAGGGGAAGGCCTGGGGAATGGCGTGGCAGTGTGTGTAAGCAGGGTGGTTCGGGCAGTTGCACTGTGGTCTGGGGAATGAAGCAGTTAATGCTGTTTTTTTCTTTTTTCTTTTTTGGTCTTCTTTTTTCAGTTATTTTTCCTTTTTCTCTCTTAATTTCATATAACTTTTTTCTTTCTTCCAATTTTGTGTGCATGTATCTGGTAATGTGAACATCTAATTTAGAGACACTATACAATACAACAAATATTGTCAAATTCATATTTTGTTTAGTGACATTCTATATCATTTTATTTATTTATTTATTTTCGGAACCGGGGATTGAACTCAGGCCTTTGTGCTTGCCAAGCAAGCGCTTATTCTACTGAGCTATCTCCCCAGCCCCAATATCATTTTAAATTTTTCTGTTTTAATAGTATTTTGTACTCTTTAAAAAATAAAAACAAAAAGTTATGTAGTGATATAGATAAAACATTTTGTTGTTTTGCTATTAAATAGAATACAAATGCTGAGTGTCTTTAAGGTTAAATCTGGCTGGGGCACAGTAAAAGTAGAGTGGTCCTCCAGCATTTTGCTAAGGGCATATGGTTGATGAAATACCAGTGTGCAGTAGGCACTGTTCTAAGTTGCAAGAGTAGTTGGAACAGATTTTGTTGGCAGCTTTAGCAGTTCACAGACTAATAAGAGAGTCATCTATGAGAAAAAGCAATTATAGGCTCGTATGGTGAGTGCAAGGAAAGACAGTCTGTAGGGATATCTAAAAAGTGAAGAGAAAGCGAAGGGAAATACTTGGAAAGAAGAAAAATGTGACAGATTGTTAAGAATATGTTCAGAAATGTAAAATGCATGATATTGAGAACAAAATAAGTAAGAGCATTGGTAAAATTTAAATTATTTCATTATTATTTCTTTTGTTCAACTTACATTGCATGTCTACTTGTGAGTTTAGTAATATGACCTTTTTAATGTAAGAAGACATTTTAAAAATGATTCCCTTGTCTTCTGCTCTACCTAAATTTTTACATGGAAATAAATTAAACGTGTCTACATTAGCAAGTCAAGAGAGTATCAGTTTCTGAGCGATTTTATTGCTGTTATTATGTTGGTGATCAGAAATTCTGCAACAAGATATGACTGTGATGTTTTTATATAGGGCCCTCGAGGTGTCCAAGGTCCCCCTGGCCCAACAGGAAAACCTGGAAGAAGGGTATGGCAGGTTCTCGTCGTGTGTTTGGAGGGTTGTCTGCAGCGATCAGGGAGTCCGCTTCCCGCTGCTTTGCTCTGACACATGCGCTTGCCTGAGTTCTGCTCTTGGCCTTGTCAGGGTCGTCCGGGTGCAGACGGAGGAAGAGGAATGCCCGGGGAGCCTGGATCAAAGGTCAGGAGCACAGATCTTTGTGTGGTCAGCTCTCATGTGTCATTTTACCCTGGAGAAGTTGAATTTTAGAATAAAATTTCTAGGTGTGAAATGATACTCAGTGTTCAAATTACATTGCAGATCTAAGTAGAGAGGTGCTGATTACAGTGATTGTGATTTCACAGGGAGACCGAGGGTTTGATGGACTTCCAGGCCTGCCAGGAGACAAGGGTCACAGGGTAAGCCGCGTGCATTGCTGTGCCTCAGAGCGTGACGGGACGTTACGCAGTGTTGCAGTAGTGCGGATAGCTCACTTAAGAAATCTGAAGGAGGTAATTCAAGCATTTGTAAGCCTGTGACTTTGAAGAAAAATAGGTAAAATTTTGTGGTAGTAATTGTGTTTAGACATAAATGCTTCTGAAAAAAAAAAAAGGCGCCCCTGCGTGCTAAAATAAAGCAAGGCGGGACCTCCATGTTCACGTCTGTGGAAAAGCTTATGGCAGTAGAAGTGTGCAGATGCCGTTTTTCACCTCATTTTTGATAATTTTTGCATTCCATCTGTGAAAACAATCAGAAGAAGATGTCCATAGGCCGCCTTTCATGAGCAGTGATTTACGGACAATGTATTACTTCTTCGTGATGCGAGTTTTCATTCCAAGTCACGAGCTTATAATTTGCGGAACCAGTCACCATGCCAAGTAGAACTCTAGTGGGTAATGAGTGGGGAAATTAAGTGCAAAGGCAGCTTCTCAAAAGAAAAAAAGGATGAGCTTAGGCTGTATACATCGCCCCGGGGGCGGGGCCGGCAGGGCAGGCCCTGGGATCGAACCCCCAGCCCCTGCGCCTGCTTGAAGGCACTTTAATCTGCTGAGCTATTTGGCCGGCCCTTAACCTTACTATTGTGTAGAGAAATAATTACTGTATGTCCAGTATGTGTGAATATAAATATAAAATTGTCTTTTTTAAATAAAAGCAAAATTCTTTTGGAATTCTTGAATTGTTCTGATTTAAACAAATTATTTAGAAGTAGAAAATATTTAGTTAACAGCATTATAGTATAGCCATGCTTGAAATGATATGAAAATAATTTTTAATGCTTTATCCTGTAATAGTTAAGTGTCTGAAAATTATTTTGGGCAATTATTTTACTTAAAGTTTTTGTATTGAATTTTGAGGAAATACAGTTTTTTCTACTATACTAATAAGGAAAAATCCAGAGAGTTAAAAACTATGATTTATTTAGGAAGTCCTGGAAGACAGAGCCCAAGTTGTCCTTGTAAATGTCCATCTGTGTTTGGACAAAGTGTCTCCTGGGAAGACTTGTAAATACTTTGCTTGTCTCATACGCTAACTGTATTTTTCATGTTTTAGGGAGAAAGAGGCCCCCAAGGTCCTCCTGGTTCTCCTGGTGATGATGGAATGAGGGTATGTTAATAGTTCATTTCTTTATGGCATACTCAGGATTAAACATTGGAGGACAAAACCATGTTGAAAAGATAAGGTGTGTAATCACCCTGCCCTTTATTCATCAATGACAGGGAGAAGATGGTGAAATCGGGCCAAGGGGTCTTCCAGGTGAAGCGGTGAGCAGTGTTTCCTTTCTTTTCAAATGATAACATTCTTCCTTTGATGAGCAATGACTCATATCACACAGGTCGGTAGTGCAGTCTTTTCTAAATTTACACGGTCAATGTTGTGTTAAAAGAGTAAGAACAGGACTTCTTTTATTATAAAGAAAATCCAAGAAATTTGAGAGAAAAAATGTGGAAAATAACATCTTACCAGTAACAAATTTACCTGTTTTTTTCATTTGAATACTATAAGTAGGTCCAGTTTCTATTTATGTATTTAGGATTAGTGGTTTATTTTTTATTACAAGAGAATCAACAGAAGGAAAGACTTTGTAAGCATATATAGAGATTTTTTTCTATCAGATACTAAGCATCAGTAAATTGAACCGGGTAGATTTACTCACAGCATGCTCTCGAGAACTGGAATAGGAAATGTCCTAGTTCTAGTCCTACTTTGCTCAGGATGGAGGCTGTCAAGTTAGATGTCAAATACATATTCAAGGAATTGGAGCAGGAGGCAGAAGAATCAAGTTTAAATAGTAAGACATTTAGAATTCTCTTAGCAAGGCCTGATGGCACATGCCTGCGTTCTCAGCACTGTGGAGAACTGTGGCCAGATGATGGAAAGTTCAGGCCTCCCCAGGGCAGCTGAGAGATAGGAAGACCTTGTCATAAGAATGAGTGAATGAATGAACCAATGAACGAGTAAATAAATAAATAAATAAGTGGTTCAGGATGTAGCTCAATCCCTACCACCCCTCTCCCCTCAAAACCTTGTATTGAAATCTAGTGTCTTGTTCGATCATTGGTGTGTGTTTGCATTCCCGATGGCTGCGTTCCTTGGGGGCCTTGGAACATATGCATAGCACACATTTTTCTCATCCCCTTCTTCTCCCCTCTTTCTCTCTTCCTTTTGTCTCTTATTCCCTTTTTCCAAAAGACTTATCTCTCTGTTTCCTATTGTTGTTTATTTTACTCTCCATTCAAAAGAAACCATAAGATAGATTGTGTCTGATTTATTTCACTTAATATCATGATCTCAAGATAAATTTATTTTTTTACAAATGATTTGTTTATTCTCTCTTATGTCAGAGTAGTATTCCATTGGGTATGACTTTCAATTTCTTTATCCATTCATTGTTGATATTGAGATTTAGGTCTTGTTATTTATGCTGCTCTGTACATGGCTCTATCTATCTATCTATCTATCTATCTATCTATCTATCTATCTCTGTAATGTGATGATATCTTTAACTGTTCCAAGAAGTTACCTAGACGGGAACAGGTTGCATCAAATTGAATTTCTAGTTGAGTTTTTGAGGAATCTCCATGTTGAGTTCCGTAATGGTTATGTTCATTCACACTTCCACGAACAATGCAGAAGGCTCCTTTCCCAAAACTCTCAGCTTTGTCGACATTTGGTGGTGTTTGACTTCTTGATGTTGGCTGTTCTTTCTGGACTAACATGGAATCTCAGTGGTCTTTTAATTCACATTTCTCTGCTGGCAAGAGCTGTTGAATATTTCTTCATGTTTTTATTGTACTTCTTAGAAGTCTGTATTTATTTTAATTATCCGTATTTTGACTGAATCCTTTTTGGAGGATCTGACGTTTTTGAGTTCTTCATATATTCTATGTACTAGATTCTATCCAAGAAATGGCTGGAAGACATGTGATTCACAGAATAAAATAAAGCATACAGAAACAACTCCAGGGCATTCAGCTAGCTGATCTTTGACAAAGGGGACAAAAGCATATCCCGGAGAAAAGACAGTCACTTTTGCAAATGATGCCTGGAAAATTGATTACTCACATGTTAAAGAATGAACTTGGACCCATATCTCTCATCATGTGTGAAAATAAAATCAAAATCCTCAAAAGTCTGAATATTAAAGCTGAAACACTTCTTTATGAAAAGATAAAATCGCTAATTCTCGTAGATGTATTCAAGAACTTCCTGAACAGAGCCCCAGTTGCACAAGAGGTAGTACCAGCAGTCATCAAATTAAAGTGTTTCGGCACAACACAGAAATATTTAGCAGAGTGAAGAGCAACCTATAGAATGGGGAAAAATACAAGCTCTTCCCTAGAGGACTAATGGCTAGAAAATTTTTTCCATAATCTTCTCTTCATGTATCGCTGTCTAGTTGCTGGTTTTCTTTTCTCTTAAAAAATAGTCTTCCACTTATAAAATAAATAAGAATCAGGGTTCTTCTGTTTGTACAGTATAGCTGATGAGTAGTAAAATTCAGTGTTGCCATTCAAATCCAACACAAAGTGATGTATTGAACTATTTTCTCTCTAAAACTTTCCCAAGTGATTCATATGTAAATTTATGGAATCAAAGTTACATAGTTTTGTATGAAGACTTGTACATTCAGGCTTTTGGCTTAATATAATCACTAGGTATTTATGTTCCACAAAAATGACATTTAAATATCATTTTTAGTATATAAAGCGAAGATGTGCAAATATCTTGCCCCAGATAATATATTCAGATTTTTTCAAAGGAAAAAGCAAGTCTTTTGAAGGCATTTCTCATGAGGTCATGCATTTGCTTTATTTCCTTCCTAGGGCCCACGAGGTTTGCTAGGACCAAGGGGAACCCCAGGACCTCCAGGACAGCCTGTATGTATTCCTGGGAGCATTCTGGATTTTCCAGGGGTGGCTTATTGCTGGACTAATACAGAACACCTCTTAGTAGCTACTTAAGCAGAAAGCATCTTGGTATATTTGAATTCTAAGGATGCTGCCTATCAGTTTAACTGATCATACCATTCTTGATTTTTTTCCTTTGTTTTATTTGCCTTGTGGTTTTTATTGTGAAACCTATCAAGTGAAGCCAATGCTATATTCTCTCCAATCTGGGCCAGGACAGCAGAGGCTAGGCCTTGTCTCATTCTCTTTACACTCTACAACCCATCTTAAGTTAGTCTTGCAAAAGATTTCTAGTGACATTGGGCAAGTGTATGTCATGGTGTTAGAGATGGATTTTTAAAAAAGATGTTTTACTTTAGCACTTAAATTTTTAAACAAACATAGCCCTGTTTTTCTTTCTCCACGTAAGGGTATTGCAGGTGTAGATGGCCCCCCAGGACCAAAAGGGAACATGGTATGTAGCAAACATTTTAAATTCATCTCTAGTCTAATGCTAACCACTGGTTAAACTTAAAATGAACATTTATAAGACTTTTCTAAATGCAGTAGCAATTGCTGGCATTGATGTTTTGTAATATTTTATAAATTCTCTTGATGGGAAACTGATTTGGGGGCTATTTTTTCAGATCAGAAGAGGAAAAAATAACTATATTGGGTGCACAAATAGCCATATTAAGCACTGTGTTTTCTGCTGCAGGGTCCCCAAGGAGAGCCTGGACCTCCAGGCCAGCAAGGAAATCCTGGACCTCAAGTAAGTCTAGGCCATTCAGTTCTTTTGAGCTAACAGGTAAGATAGTATTTTTTTTCACAACAAAATAGACAGCCTCAACATTTTTGGAAGTAGAGTTAAATATGTTAGAAATGTTAACATTGAGAGATTTTTTTCTCTTTTGATTTTTAATTTGAGCAAACTTGCAGAGGCCCCATTTCCAGGAGAAAAGTGAGTCACTCAGCATTTGGGGAGTGCAGAGTGAATCCCCAGCCTGCATGCAGGCACTGAGTAGTATCCCTTACAGTCTGGCTGCAAGCGGCGGCGTAGCTCGTGGAAAACTAACGGAGCTCCAGAAGGCTCCAGGGAGTGCAGGAATTCTGCATACTTGTACACACATTTTCAAAACACACTTTGTATGTCATAGATGCTTAAGAAATTGCTATTTGGAAAGTATATTGTGATTCATGATGTGAAATAAATTCTTTTAAAATAGGGTCTTCCTGGTCCACAAGGTCCAATTGGTCCTCCTGGTGAAAAAGTAAGTCACCCTTTTTCTGGGAATCTCTGGTGAACAAGTATGGGGTTAACAACTTGTGGCCTTCTGTTTTTGATATCTGCTTGAGTAGCCCAGAACATAAACTATTCTGAAATTAAACCTTGACTATACAATGTGAGTGGAATTAATGTATCTTTAAAATACAAATGATAAAGGCCGGCAAGATAGCTCAGCAGACTAAGTAGCAGCTTAGACAAGCACAGGGACCGATGTTCCATCCCTGACATCGTAGCAGCCCTGTCCCCATCCCGGACTCACTGACTTGGTAACCAGGACCCAGCATGGTGGCGCACGCCTGTAATTCCAGCACTGGGGAGGCTGAAAACTGGAGGATCACTAAGAGGCCGAGCTGCATAGTGAGACCCTGTACCAAATGCATAAAAAAAAGAGAGATTTTACATCATTATCACTTAGACAGCTTCCTAATGTGAAATTCTCAGCTGTATTAACTGCAGAAACCTACTGGTATGAGTAACTGCTCTTCTTCATTTTGGCTCTCCTTTTCTTTCCTATTGCTTGAAAAAATATGACTTATTACAAAGGGTTTATTGCAGGATCTGATTAAAGAGATAGTTGTGAGAGATTGTCCATATATAAATTTTCCATTTATTCATACTTATTTTTCATGTAATGATTCAGTATCTGAGTCAAAACAAGAATACATCTCTAATTAAAGAGATATCTTTTTCTTGATATCTGCTGCCAGATTCCCTGTGATTGTATCTTTTTTGTTCGCTGTAGTAGCTACTGTGTAATTATCAGCTAGTTTTTTGTAAAGTTTTTCCTTTTTGTGTATTTATATGAGCATTCAACCTAAGAAGAAAAAAATTAAAGTATGACTTAAAGATCATGAAAAGTTCCGTGTTTTAAGTGTATAAGGAAATTCAGATGTATGTCACAACTTAACTTTTAGATAATCTGTGTAACTCTGGAAAGAATCCTGTGTCGCTGATTCCAGTCCTGACCTAGACAACAACTCATTTGGTGTCTGTCTGTGTAGATTTGCTATTCTTGCATATTTCGTAGAAATGAAATCTGTAAATGCATTTAATACTTCACTGTAGTCACATGACAGAATATAATACATATATGACCTTTATGTCTAGCTTCTTTCATTTGTTTTAATGCTTTTGAAATTTGTCCATGTTATAGCATATATTGGCACTTTGATCCTTTTTATTGCCAGGTAGTATTACATCCTGAGTTCTGTTTACCCAGCAGTTGATGGTCATTTGGGTAGTTTATAGTGCTGTCTTTAGTCCATAAACTAGTGCTGCTGTGGACACTATTTACACATCACTCTTTGCACAGCAGTGTTTTTATTCAATTTTGGTAAATACTTAAAAGTGGTTATTCTTATGGAAATTATGTTTGACATTTTAGGAAGCTTCCAAGCTGCTTTCCCAAAGTGGTTGTGTTATTTTTTCCACCAATAATATATGAATATACTAGGTTCTTCACAGCCTAACAAATACTTGATATTTTCTCCCTTTACAATGGTCATACTATTTGGTGTGAAATGGTATCTCATTTTGGTTTTAATTTACATCTCTGACCTGTAGTGATGTGATGTTGAGTATTTTTTCACATGGTCATTGCCATTTTTATTAAGTTTTGCTCAAATAGCTCTTCAAAATCCCAGGTAGTGGTTTTCTTTTTTTTTTTTTTTTGTGGAACTGGGGATTGAACTCAGGATCCTGCACTTGCCAGGCAAGGCACTTATTCTACTGAGCCATCTCCCCGGCCTCTCAGATAATGTTCTAATTAGATTATTTATTTAATTATGGAGTTGTAAGAGAAAAAGTCTCATTTAAATGATCAGTAAAGTTCTTTACTTTTTGGAATGTTTTCTGTACAGTTGCAGTATAGAATCACTATTGGAAAATGTGCTATGATTTCAAGGTTCTAAAGGTGATTTTAATCCTGAAAATTTTCTTTTGGGCCCTCTTATCTATTATATTATTTTATCATAATCATATTCTATTATAGATTGTATTTGAATCATGTACTTATTAAATACTGTATGCTATAATTTTATTATAAACACACTGGATCATTAAGAGGTATATGACTTTTGGGAAACTTGGTATACCCATGTCCTTCTTGCTTAGCTAGCGGTAAGGTAGAATTTGGTTCACTCTACTCTGATGGTAAGAAGAGAACCGCCTTCAGTACATGCTTAAGCCTGAACGTTGGCCTCTCATCTGAGCATGCCCAACTTGTAAATCCAAAGATGGTCTTTTCTATCAAAACCAGACAGGGACTCAAGAACGAGAAGGATACACATTTTACTTATATGGTATTTATGTTATGTATTTTGTATTATATTTATGTCAAAAAGTAGGCTCTGGTTTTTTGTTTTTTTTTCTTTTCTGGTTTTTTGCCCTGTATTTTAGGAAAGGGTCAACAGGGCCTTCAAAGTGTCTCACTACTAGATCGGACTCCTAGTGATCCACCTGTTTACAGCCTCTCAAGTGCTGGGATTACAGGCATGCACCACCACGCCCAGGCTCATTGGCTGTCTCAGCGTGCCCCGGGGGCAGGGTGGGCATGGCAGGTTGGGCTGGCCCCTGCGCCTGCTTGCTGAGCATATTTGGCTGGCCCAAACTCTATTTTAAGTTTTTAAATACATTATGGTCTGTTTACTTCAGCTGAAGAGCTTGCTTTCCAAAACTTGATGAATAGGAATTCTTAACAATTACATAGTATAATCCAACATTTAATAAATGTCATTTGCCCTACATTTTCAAGAATTCATCTAGATATTGTTTGTATAACCTGTGTTTTTATTATGTTTGTGATAAAATAGCTCATAAAGTTAGAGAATCAAAATTATGAAGGAAATTATTCTTTTGTTATTTTTAACGAATACATGGACTATTTCTTATGATATAATTTATGGGCTGAGCATTCGCTTCATTTATATGAAATAGAAGGACCTGTTTGTGGACTTGATTCATTCAGGGTGCATCTTCGTCAACACTAACACGTGGTGCTGTCTCAGTGATTCATTCATACAAAGCGGAAAATGCATATAAGTCGCTTAACGTAATGTAGAGAAGCACTCCAAAAACTCTTACTGTTTTATTGAAATCTAAGAAGTAGGATATACACTCATTGCTACTCCCGTGCCTCTAGAGAAACAGGAAGCACTTTCAGTAGCGGGAGGAGCATTCTGCCCTCAAGGAACTCCCACTGTAGAGCAATTAATGGGTTTCCGTTGGATTAAAAAATCATCTTGTAACACAAGAGTTTTAGTATTTCTTGTTTACTTCCGATATATACTGCATAAAACCCGTGTAGTACTCCTCAGCAAGACTCTGTCATAGGAACATTACATCTCCTGATGATAGTAATTAAGGGGCTAGCTCGGGGCTGATTTTTTTTTTTTTTTATTTAGTTTGTTGAACCATTTTTTATTAACTCAGATTTCCTACAGAGCTGTAAGTTTTGAAAAAGTAATTACACACGCTTTATTCATCATGTACTTTACAAGCCATTGACTTTATCACTGTTGAAGCAATAATGATGTTGTATAGGACTGTGGGTACAAGCAATGTTAAAGACATGGTCTGGGAAATTTCACATCTGAACCTAAATAACTGAGGATCCCAGCAATTCACAGATGACCTTTACAAACACTATATTAGGTATTAATGATTCAAACTTTGCTATAGAGACTTTTAACCAACCACATGGCTTCAAAGTGAACCATGCATCTTACTTTTGTATTTGACAGTCTTTAATTCATGTGTGTGGTGTGCTCTACACTTGACACGGCCGTTGTAAAAATGAATTAAGTGTCTGGGTTGATTTTTAGAAGAACCAAGTTCCTTAACAGTAAAATGAATTTAAATGTTTGGCAAACTGGTGCCATTTAAATCCACAATAATTACTTTTACCGAATATTAAATTCTTGGATTGAATATGAGGTTGAAGATTGGTGAATGAAATTCACAGTTTTAAATCCTATCTGAGATATAATCCATTTCAGTTTTAAAGTCTAATTTTTCAATTTAAAGATTACGTTTAATTTTTGTGGCATATTGATTAAATTTATACTTTCCTGTAAAGTTATACTATAAGTCAAAATACATGCAATGAATATCACAAATACTCTCTAAAAATGGAAAATTCTGAACTCTGCTCTGCACTTAGGTGTGTTATGTCTCTCCCTTTCAGAGGTTTCTAAGTCCTCGGTCTTGGCTAGTATGGACCAGTAGACAGCTGTAGCTGAGGACTAGATAGAGATATACTCGCAGCAAAATGCCTGTGCTTCCAGAAAGGATATAACCTTCTGATGCTGATTCTTGCCATCCAGAATTGGCGTTGGTCAAGTTAAATGAAATTTGGATTCCTCTCTGATTGTACACAGATCACAGTGAGCAACTGAGTCAAGTTATCTTTTTGTTGTTTGTTAGTTGCCTATTAGTGCATTTGCTTGCAAACCACAAAATAAATTGATTTTTCTTCATGTCCTATGAAAATAATGTAATTTTTTCACACATTTTAATACTTGGTGGCATCTTGCATCATCACTGTGGAATTGTGGTCATGCGCCAAGGATGTGCCTTGTCTGTGAAATAGATCGCTCAGCAGTTTGAGCCTGCTGCCAGCGTCGCGGTGTGTGCGCGTGCGAAGCCAGCTGCGCGGGCAGTCGCTTGGTGTTGGTGCAGCCAGGAGACACGCCGGCTGAGGGCCTGCGGGACATGCTAGCGCAGCACCGAAGGGCGGTTTCTTTCCTTCTTTTTCTCCTACCCCGACTGCTTCCCTCTCCGTTCCTCCTCCTGTGCTCCTCTCTCTGCCTCTCTTCCTCCTTCGCTTCTCCTTCCTTCTCCTCCAGACTTGGAGTGCTGAGCCTTTTGACATGCGCCTCAGTGAGCTCAGCATGCTGCTTGCCAGTACTTTTTTTTTTTTGTATAAATAGAAAGATTATATTTTAATGATAAAAAGCATAAAATGGTAAACACATAATCCAGCACAGTGGTCACTTTTTATTATCAAAAATTATATGCTATATGCAGTTATATCTCAGTACTCTTATATCTCTGGTTAAATTTTTTCAACATTACAACAAACATGAATATTGAATTACAGTATGACATTATGCTGGTTATGACATAGGTGAGCTAAGCCCTAGAAGAAAATGTAGCTCTGGACATCACTTCAGGACTCATGGTTATATCTCATCTGACACGTCCTAGCATTACTGACAGAAATAGCCAGTGTCTAGCTCTGCAGTACTGTAAGCCCATGGTCTTCTGGTCCATATATTGGCTCTTATTTATTCTTTGAGGTACAGTTCATTCTGGCATTTAAAAACTAATTTGTTAACTTATAAAGGATATGCTTAGTACTACTTAGCAGGATAAAAACTAGAATGTTTTCCTATCTGTTAAATTAATTTTTAATTCTTATATACCATTCTTTTTCTCAAGAACTTTTAAGGGCTGGCCAGATAGCTCAGTGATCTAAAGCTTCTGCTTAGGCAAGCTTGGGCAGGCACAAGGGACTGCGGTTTGATCCCTGGCACCACGTACTGAGCCAGCTCGACCCACAGGGCAGGCTGAGCTGGCAAAAAAAAAAAAAAATAAAAGTTATCTAAATGTTTATTACATATATATAGAAGCAGTTACCTCAAGTTAAAAGTGTCAGTAGTAGTGTAGAGATCCATTTAGTTAGTCATTATTTTCATCTTTTAAAATAAAATATTTTACACTTTTTTTCATCAGGGACCACAAGGAAAACCAGGTCTTGCTGGGCTTCCGGGTGCTGATGGTCCTCCTGTAAGTAATAATTACGTATCTATAAGCATTTCTGTTATTTTCAACAAAGGATTTTATGTGTGTTATGGAGACTATTCAGTTATTAGTAAAATCAGATTGAACCATTAATCAAACACTGACCGCTCTACAGCAGCGCTTCTCAGCACATCATCCCTTCTGTATCGCAAGTCTTTCTTGACTGGCCGTGGCTTCTAGGTAAACGCCCTGGCCTTGCCTGTCGGGACTGCCCGCGTCCACTGTTGCCTTCACTTCCTCCTAAGTCACTAGCTCGGTGAAAAGATTCACTCACCTTTTATTGGGAAAACTTGGAATGTCTTGTGATTTTCTTTTAGCCTTTTACCTTTTCCTGTACCCTGCTGTTTTATACAGAGCATTTTTCTGTCTTGTTTTCTTCTTCAGCTTCCAAGAGTCCAGGAACAGTTCCACAAGAATCACAAATATATTCGATTTTTCTGAAAAGTCCTCAAGATTTAGTGATAGCCTCCTTCTTTAGGAATGTGGTGGTTTCCAAAACGTAGTAACAGATACTATAAACCTTTATGTACTCTTTATTATTATAAAATTATTATTTATGAATTTTGCATTTTAAACTCTTCAGATTTACAAGAGCCAGAATATGAGATTTTTTTCTTCTACTTAATCTCAACAACTTGATTTTTAATTCTGGCTGTGTTTCCAGGTTTCTCATTTACCTGCTTTTGGTGTGTTTCCAAGATGCATGTACATACCTTGAATGATACCAAAACACAAGATAACATGTATTTATTGAGAATGGGGCTAAACTGATAAATACCATGCAGTCTTTTACATGCTTTTCCTGAACTCTTAGAAGAACAACCTATATTTAATGAAATAAGTGTGAGCTTATTATGTTTCTTTCTAAATGCCAGTTTTCAGTGTCATTTAAAAATAGAAATGTTTTTAGAAAAATATTCAATAATTTTTGAAAGAATACCAATGACTTCCAGGTTAAAAAAAATTTTTGAAAGAATAATTAGATCTCAATAGATTTGAACTGAAGGGAAGAATTTTCTAGTTGTAGTATAAGTTACCATTGATATTGGATCTTAACATTTCTACTGAATCTAGGGTCACCCTGGAAAAGAAGGCCAGTCTGGAGAAAAAGGTGCTCTGGTAGGTTGCATAGTATCCACTTAAATGTCCTGTCAGCTTATGTGTAAGAGAAATTTTCTGTATGTTTATAACTTAAATATACATTTTACCTGTGTTCACAATGAGGTATGATATTAGAAGCTACAAGACTATGTTCTCTCTATGTACACGGTTTTACTTTCTGAAGAATTACTTTATAGTGTTTTAATGTAAATTGTGCTCCTGAAATTATTTTTATATAATGAACCAGCATATCTTTTGTTTTTTTTTGGACCTGGGGACTGAACTCAGGCCCTTGTGCTTGCCAGGCAAGCACTTACTCTACTGAGCTATCTCCCCAGCCCTGTACCAGCATATCTTAGATAGGTAACTTTTAAATTTATATTGTAAAACTTACAAAATAGACTCCATTCTGTTTTTTAAATGAATATTCTCATGGCCAAGAGTAGATCCATGTTATGCATTTGTAGTATGAATTGAATGAATACTTAACTATCAAAAATTACTGAATATCCTTTAAAGTGTTCAATGTAACCCAAATTTATCTTATTAGTTCCTGGTAACTTCTAATTAAGAGAATATTTTGTTTTAACAACTACAAAGATATCTAAAATTTAAGAAAACCTTATCCAGTATTAGTAGTGTATGGGGTAACAGTAGCAAAGCACAAACACTTTTGAGTTTTTATAATAGCATTAAAACTCTCATCATTGGTGTAGAAATGCTGTGTTTTGTACGTTCTTCCCTTGCTGCGTACTCGTGAGGGAAGCCGGCCTTGGGAAGCGTGTAGGTTTGAGCGTGATCCTCATGATGGGAATTGACGCAGATGGACTCAGCTTTTAATTTGAGCTCAACTCTGTTGGCTAGTCTATAATTGCTGACTGTAGACAGTAGGCACGGAGAACTTTTTCATGTCAAAAATGTTTGATGTTAATTATCTGATTATCTGCATGTTTTACTAATTTATCTTCTTGCCAGCTTAGGTATTGTATTCATTTTCTGTTGCTGTCACACAGATTACTTAGTCTTGGTAGTTTATAAAAATAGATTTATTTAATTCATATTTTGGGGCTGAAAGATCTAGGAATGAGGGACTTCTGGTGTAGCCTCCTTGCACTGTGTGACAAAATGACAGCTGGCATCACGTGAAGAGCATGTGCAGGAGGAGAGAAAATGATAAGACTGGAAGCCAGAGGTATTCTGGGACTTGGCTTCCTCTTTTATAATAGCCTGTGTGCACAGGATTTAGCCAGGGCTCCATGAAAACTCCAGAATCCTTTCAGAGGGCAGAGCTGTGTCACCTCCCAATGACTGCGCCCTCACCCGGGTCCTCCCCATAGGGATTCAGACTCCTCAGCGTCACTACATGGGAGGCCGGGCTGGAGCACACAGCGCTGCACACCTCCTGCACTCCCTGAGAGTGAGCTTATTTTAGCATCAATGTAACGTATAGTGAATTTGGGGTTAAGAGTGCAGTCACATCGTGTGTTAATCACATCTAACACTTAAAACATTGTACATTCCTTCCAAATCTTTACCAAATATGAATGCTACAACATTTTGGGAGAGCAAAATTATAGAATGTAAAAGAGCCACATTGTCAAGATGTGCATTTAATTTGTAATCCATCTTCTGTAGGGTCCACCTGGCCCACAGGGTCCCGTTGGCTACCCTGGTCCCCGAGGAGTAAAGGTAATACATGTTAAATTGTTTTCACATTAATTTCACTGTGAAATGTAATCAGCTCATGCTCTAATTTCCTCCCCAGGGAGCAGATGGCGTCAGAGGTCTCAAGGGATCCAAAGGTGAAAAGGTAAGATGTAACTAATACGGGATTCTCACTTCCATACAGCTTGGGCATAAATTCAAATGTCTTCAGCACATAATTGATTGCTCATGAATTGCTGTGTGATTCCTTGCACACTGGCCAACCTCAGTCTTACTTTGTACTCTCTCTAGGAAGTGTTTTAGAAAGAAGTAGTTTGTGTCCTGGGATGGGGGCTACATGAGACAAAAGGGGCAGCATACGCCAGAGAGGAAGCGCTGCTTCCCTCGCACCTTTGTCCTCTTGCGTGCGGCTTTGCACATGAGCAGGTTACTGCAAGTTGGCAATGTGCTTACATGCATATAAGAGAAATGGGCTTTCCTCCTTCCACTAAAATGCCTCAGGTTCTTAAAGTAAAATGTAATGTACTGGGAAACCAAAATTAAAAGTATTGTAAACTGAGATAAGGAAAGTTAATTTATATAAGGCTACAGAAAGCAAAACTGGTGCCGGCCAAATAGCTCAGTGGATTAAAGTGCCTACAAGCAGTTGCAGGGGACAGGGGTTCGATCCCTGGGCCCGTCGTGCCGGCTCCACCTCCAGGGTGGGCTGAGACAGTGATTGAGACTGGGTGTGGTGGTGCACACCTGTAATCCCAGCTCTTGGGAGGCTGTAAACAGGAGAATCACCAGTCTAATCTAGTAGTGAGACCCTGAACACCCTGTAGACTCTTACCTAAAA